CAGCACATGAAGAACATATGACGATGAAAGGTATATTAATATTGTTATCATAATAGTGATGCTTGATGAAGTACATTTCTTATTGAATAGTGATTTCCAATAAAACACTGGCAATCTCACGTTAGTATCAGAGCTGCCAGTCTGGCCTGCCGGCCTGCCAGCCTGCCAGGCCAGGCTACCAGGCCAGGCAGAGTTTTAGGATTTTAGCCTGGCCTGTATCAAACCAGGCTAGATTCAGCCTGGCATGCAGGCCAGGCCAGGCCGAAACTTGTGGCCTGAACAACATGTAGTCAAATTTTTTGTGTATTGATCCATTCTGATTCGAAGTGGCATTGCAGATTTAACATACTTGGACAAAGTGATTGCAGTTAAAGCATGTCATTTTAAAATTCATAACACATTTTTAAATGACATGCTTTAGTTTTAAAACAAAGATCTGTTGCATGTCTCGATTTTCGATGTTTTATGCGAGTCTTTTTGTAAACAGAATTGTGAATGTGTGACTTCACTATGTCCTGCGATGAATGACAATGATGATCATTCTAGTGATTTTCAATTGTCTCATCCATTCTATTTCAGTATTAACAATGAAGATTCAAAGTGGCACCTAACTCTGAGAGTCTACATCAACTCAGAAGGCTATATTTTCTCTTTATGATAGATGATTCTTGTAAACTAATTTACGTGTTTTCGTATTTTTATGCTGACTTATGATCAAATTAGATGTGTCTCAATATGGAAGGATAATGTATTCTTATACAAAATGAAACTGACTAATAATAAAATCCAACAAGCATCATTCAGCAAACAAAGACAAGCAGCAAGCATTTCTGACTTAGATTAAAACTACTTGCTATGTTTCAATTTTTATGTTACATTTATTACAGTATATGTTTTTCACTGTTGTGGAAAAACCCTGATGAAAGTAGAATGGCTTTGAAGGAATAACTGCTTGCATAAGCAAGACTATTTTCTTCAGCAGTGTATCTTTTGATTTTATATTCCTTGGAAAATTTCTCAATTTCATTCTTTATTGAGAAGAAATATACGATTACGACTAGGGTGAAATAATGAAAAGAAGTCTGATGCACATTGTACAATTTTATTCATGAGAGTAGTAAAATATTTGATAAATTTGTTCTGTTCTCTCAAAAGCCTGCAGGCCAGGCCCAGGCCAAGCATCTTATTCTTAGCCTGGCCTGCCATTCGTACTGGCCTGGTCAGGCCAGGCGAGCAGGCCAGGCCAGGCTGGAAAAAACTGGCTTGTTGGCAGCTCTGGTTAGTATCACTGTTGCATCCCTATATCAAATGTCTATTATTAGTAGATCAAGTGAAAAACAGAACTTTCAGAGGATGATTAATAAAGAGAGAACAGTGAGAATACAAATCTAAAACCTATATATAATATGGAATGCGAGAAAATGAAAATGATATGATACTATGATTATCGAATTCATATATAGATGAAAGTGCATTCAAGGATAAATTCATGATTCTAATGCTTAAATATAAGTAATGTTTCAAAATGGAAACTGCTCAATTCAAATGGAAAACTTATTTTCTAATTTATTTTATTTCTAATTTAATTATAATTCTATTTACCGATCAATAGAAGCCAGAACAATAAACCATGCGTACTGTGCTCTATGAAAACAAACAAAAGAAATTAGTTAATTGATTATATAAAAATTCATATAGTACCTATTACACATAAAAAGCAATGTCAGAATTTTACACACCATCAATGATCCTGTATAAATATTGACTTTATATCCCACTTGAAGAAGTCGGCAGAATATATTGATGGTAACAACACAGATACCACTTATTGTTGCTGCCAAAAAATAACATGAACATGAATTTGAACGAAGTGATGGACGTGTGAAGACACACATGTTCAATGTATGACCAATGAAGCCAAGAACAATCATTGAATAGCACCAAATAATTGAAAACTTAATTGAAATCTCATTAATCACAGCAACTTCACTGACATTTATATTTTCTGAGGACATGCTTGCTATTGAAAGAAACTTGTTAACAATAAGAAAATGACTTGAAGACTATTCTAGAAAAAATATTCGTTTAATAATGACTTATATTCATTCTACATTATATTTTACAAAATCTTTCGAGTCTATGAGTTAATCAAAGATTTTTCGACATACTTTCTATTCAAGTTTTTATAGGATCTATTATCTGCTAGTATGTTGTTGTATATCCTATAATTCATTTATTTTCTATCATTTCTGAAAATAATTAGAGAATGTGTCAAGGATCTTCTTTTGATCTTTCTAACATTTATTCGTCATACTTATTGATACAAAATGCGAAGAAGATAATTACATATTGTATTATGTTAAAAATAACATTTCGTGAACTCTCCATGAGAACATGACATACAGAGAGGCACTTCCACTCGTTCCATTAAACACAATTCTTTGGTGTTCTTGTATCAAAAATCTATTCAGCCAATGAGCTTTGCTTTATAAGAATAGGCAATCTACTTTTTTCCGAAAAACTTTTAAAAATAATACTATATATATATATATTATATAGGCAATTAGAGTGAATGAGTACATGCGAACGCGGTAATGAATATATTTTCTACAGAATTACAAATTTAAATCTATCAACAACTTTTATAACATGTAAACATATTCAGTAAATAATAAATGATGTATATCTATATAGTTCTAACTCACTTACTTTTAATTTGGTATGACTAAGTTTAAAACTTGCAAACATTCTCTTTTAAATGTACTTGTCATATAGTAAATGATGTATTTGAGCATGATTTTCTCATTTATTGTTGACTTATAATGGTATCTCAGCTTTTTATCTTGTGTCTTACTTTTTAATGAAGATACTTTGATCTGTGACTAGCTTTGAACAAAAAACGCATACAAGTGAAACAAACAATGGTCAAAAACTATATGGTTTTACTTTTCATGGCATTTGCAAAAGAGTCATATAAAATGATAGCACTTTACACCGTAGAAGAAAGAGACAAAAAGAAATACCTGTTAGGTCAAGTAGCCGACCTGTAATTAACCTAGATTTCGTTTTCTCTCTCTTTTATGCCACTGCTCAGTGAAAAATTTTAAGGATTAACATCGATTAAAATATTCCACTTGGTTTTATTTTCCTTGTATAGCTAGCAATGTTCCAAACTATTATTTTACGTATTAACGCAGTTATTTAGATGGAATGATGGAAAAGAAGTAAATAGAAAACACAACTGCTATTTAACAAAGTTTTAGATTCATAATATGATTGGTTTAAGTGTATTCCAGAAAACGAAAATATTTGCTTGTTTCACATATTCATTTATTCTTTTAGTACAACAATAAAACCAATGGATACTGACTTCGAACATATAAAAGTATGTTTTTTATTATCCTATAATACTGATGCAACTTATAACACTCTCTGTTTCTTTTTATCTCTAGAAAATATATGATGATTATGTACAACCACCTGTTAACCGGATGTCACTATTAACCTGTACTTTTTTCTATGCTTTTGAGACTATCACTATTCTTACAATGACAACAGCAAGAAGATTGAAGACAATAGTTGATAGAAATATTTATAAGAGTGTGACGTGTGGGTGTGGATGAATACAAAGTCAACACCGACACTCTGTTGAACTTTCAGAAGGCGCTTCACATTGAAAAAAGTATTCTTGCATCGACTCACCCAACACTAATTACAACTTAGCACAACATAGCACATACATTTGGATCTCTCGGCCGACACAAAGAGACAGTGGAACATGAATCACATGTCGTATACATTGAGAATATTAAGCTCGGAAAAAATCATCCTAAAACACAATAGTTATAACAGTGCCTTTTTACTCATCGTTTTAACAATAAGCTTTCATGATCTCTACTGGTGCTATTAGAAAGGAGAAATTTTCTCATCTTTTTATTGAAAGCGCCAATTAGGGGTGTAATCCATAGAGTAAAAAAATGAAAAAATTTCATGAATTTGATTATTTAGAAGAAATGAAAATCATTTGATTACTTCCATAACTTTCGCACTATTTTGGGTGTAGATACCAAACAACGAAAACACCCACACCCATACCACACTGGCATGCACACTCACACGCACACCTAACACAATCACAGCGATAATACTTTTAACGCTATTCTCATAACGTCTTTTCTATCGAATCCAATTTTCTTTATCATAAATAGTTGCACAAAAGATACTAATGTCATTTGTATTTGGTACAGCATGATTATTTAAGGACAATTTCTGTATATTTACATTGGCTATAAAAAGTATAAAATTTTTATTAATATTCGTCCCAATATGATTTTGACATCTAGTTAAGTCATTGAAAATATTAATAAATGTTATTAAATGTGCATTGGACAATTCTATGAATTCGGCTGGCTTATTTATTTCGTAAAGTAGAGAAACTCAAAGATCGTATTAAGAATATATTGTATTATTAAATTTAATATCAGTT